GAAGAGGGAGCTGGCCCGGGCAGCAGTGGCCCCTGCGCAGCCCTCGCGACCTCCACGAGGCAGGGGTGGGTCCACGGCTGGGCCGCCTACCTGGACCGGTCCCTGCTGGAGGCCAGCCAGTGTGGCTGGGGCAAGGCCAAGGGCACCTTGCTGTGGGCCAGAAGTCACCTGGGGATGGAACCAGAGCTGGGCCAAGGGCCTGGCCAAGTGGGGATACAGCTGACACCGCTGGGACTCCCCGGACCGGAGCTGCTGGCTCCTGGCTCGGGGACCTCAGAGGGGGTACAGAACCTTTGGCCTCTATTACCCTCCCGTTTAACCTTGGCCCAGTTCTGCCCCATCTCTGGGCCACACAGAGGTCCACAGTGTGCTAGGGCCTGTCTTCCGGAGCTAGTAGTGCTCACCAGCCACACCCACTCCCAGTGTCACGCTGCCCCAGGGGACGGGGAGGACCCCACCCAGGCAGCTCCCAAGCCCTGCTGCTGGCCTGAGGGCCCTGTGCCTTGAGGCTGCTAGGGTCAGATTGGGCAACCTGGTGAGGCTGCTGGTTCTGTAGTTTTCCTCATCCCAGCCCATCTTGACTGAGCAGAAGCGAAAGCCAAGATGGGTCGGCCACCCTGTCACCAGCCAGGAAGGCAGGAGGAGAGCACAGAGATGGGTCTTTGGCCTCCGTCCAGGTGAGGCAGGGCTGTCATGGAACATTAAAAATGCAGCGGTGAGCTGAGCACTCAGTGTGCACTGAGAAGCACTTAGCAGATGACGGTAGGAGAGACTGAAAGATTCAAAAGGGAGTAGCCAGAGCCAGGCATGGTGGCCCACGCCTGCGATCCTAGCACTTGGGAGGCTGAGGCAGAAGGATCACTGCAAGTTTGAGGTCAGCCCGGGCTACAAAGTAAGTTCAGAGCCAGCCTGAACTACAAAGGGAGAACTTATGTCAAAAAAAAAAAAAAAAAAAAAAAAAAAAAAAAAAAAAAAAAAAAAAAAAAAAAAAAAAAAAAAAAAAAACGTGTGCAGTGACCTCAGCAGTGATGAAATGCACGTTGGCATGAACCCAGGAGGCAACAGACCCTTGTGCAGTTGTGTGGTGCTGGCCAGAGGGGACTTCCTCCACCTGCCTGGGTCCCCTAAGTGCCCTCTGATCTGCTGTCCTTCATGGCGTGCTGTGGCATGGCTTATCAGTCCACATCCACAGAGGCTGCCTGAGCACCTGGGGACCCTGAGAAGGGCCCAGGGCAAGAAGGAGTTCGGCTCCCAGCACCCAGGGAAGCCTGGTGTTCACCATGGGTGGCTGTCATGGAGAGCACCTGGCAACAGGTGGTACCAACCTCTCACTGCTGTCCTCCTTCATGGTCACCACCCATGCCCACTGCAACCTCCAGCTCAGACTATGCAGGATGTGTCTGCCTCCACTGCCCAGAGTCATGGCCACACACAGTGCCCTCCTTACATCCCCCAGGCCACAGGGCACAGCAGGCCTGGGCACAGGGCTCGGGGGACCACCCGCTCCTGCCAAGCCAGCTGCACCGTGCTGATGACGGGAAAGCAAACAGCAAGCTGTCTCCAGAAAGAGAAGTGCTGGTTGCATCTTTCCTGAAGTGTCCCCAAGAACCCTGGATTTATAAACACAAACCCCCCCCCAGCCCTCCTTTCCACAGAGCTGCTGTTAGCAGTTTTCAGCTCTGAAAAACTTCAAAATTCTCCCCTACCAAGCTCTTCTTTCCTGCCTTCTCCACACACCTCTCCCTGAACCCCTAAAGTGGACACAGGTCTCCTGTCCCACACCCAGCTCACCTGGCCTGGCCTGGGGATGTGAACTCCTGTCTTTCTGTCTCCACAGATGTCACCTGTGATGTACCTGCTGCTACCATCCTGGGAGGAGACCGGCAGGAGCCCTGTGCCCTGACCCCAGGGTCCAGCCCCCTGGCTCTCACATTCCTGCCCAGCAAGCCGGGTGCCCGGCCCCAGCCCGAGGGAGCCAGCTGGGATGCAGGGCCTGGTGGGGCCCCCTCGGCCTGGGCAGACCCAGCAGAGGGCAGTCCCAACCCCGCACTCCTGTCCAAGGGCCTGCACCCCCAGGCTCTGCCCGCTGCCCTGGAGCCCCGGATTGTGATGGGCGAGGAGACTTGCCAGGCACCGCCGTCAGCCAGGGCAGCCCTGCCAGTGCTCAGGGAACAGGAGCCCTGCTCTCAGGACAACCCTCCCGTGCCTTCCCCATCCCCGGACCCTGACCCCTTCTTCACCCCTCCCTCCACCCCCACTGAGGCCACCTATGCCCTGCTTCTCGGCCATGGGCCGCACAGGGACGCATGGGATGCTGAGGCTGAGCCGCTGGACTCACTGCCTGCCTCGCCCTCAGGCTCCTCCTATGTCACGGCTGATGGGGACAGCCAGGCCTCATCACCTTCCTGTCCCCTCAGCCTGCCGGCCACTGCTGAAGGGCTGGACTTCGCCTCACACTGGGGCCTCTCCCAGCCGGGGTGGGCAGCTGAGGGAGGGGGGCAGCACCCTGCCGGGCCCCCGTCCTCTGAGTCCAGCCTCTCAGGGGACAGCGGCTCTTCCTGGAGCCAGGAGGGCCACTTCTTTGACTTGGACTTCCTGGCCGATGACCCAATGATCCCTGCGACCCTGCTGCCCTTTCAGGGCAGCCTCATCTTCCAGGTGGAGTCAGTGGAGGTGATGCCACTGTCCCCAGAGGAGGAAGAGGAAGAGGAGGAAGAGGAGGGGTCACCTGACCCTCTGGGCCCAGAGGGGGAAGTGGCCGGAGGGGACGAGGAGGAGGAGGACAGCGCCTCAGCTTCCTTCCTGCAGTCACTGTCCGACCTGTCCATCACCGAGGGCATGGATGAGGCCTTCGCCTTCCGGGATGACACCTCAGCGGCCTCCTCAGACTCTGACTCAGCGTCCTACGCAGGGGCTGAGGACGACCTGCTGTACAGCGGGGAGCCCCACGCCCAGCCCGGCATGCTGCTGCAGGACACCGGCCTGAAGGCGGAGCAGGAGTGTACAGGCAGGGCTTCATTCTGGAGCAAAGAAGCCAGGGGCATGGCACCGGCCCCTCAGGTCCCAGAGGGAGAAGCCCCTGTCAGCCAGAGCCCTGAGTCAATCTCAGGAATCTCCAAAGAGAGCCTTGCTTCCAGCCAGGTGTCTGCGGCTGCTGTGACCCCTCACGCTGGGCTGGCGGCCACAGGGGTGACCCTTGAGGTGGGAGCCAAAGATGCTGATTCTATGGCTGGAGGAACACCTGTCATCTGGGTACCAGCTCAGCCCTCCCAGGATAGGAGGGGCACTGCCTTCAGCCAGCCGCCTGATGCTGCAGAGGCAAAGCCAGATCTGCAGGAAGCAGCAGGCGCCGCTGTGGGCCCAGACCCTCCTGAGCTCACGGGGCATGGAGGCAGCCTGGGTCTCCCAGAAGGCCTGGAGTCTATGGCTGTAGCCACACTACAGCCCCTGCAGGCCAGAGAGGACAGCCCGTTACCCCAGGACTCTCTGGAGCGTGCACTTCCGCCCCTGCTGGATAAAGATCCCACCTCAGGCCTAGAGTCTGTGGCTATGGCCATGCTAGAGTCTCAGAAGGCTGAAGGAGGTGTCTTGTTATTTCAGGACTCTTCTGAGCCTGCTCTTCCACCTCTACTGGATAATCCCACCTCAGGCCTAGAGTCTGCAGCTGCAGCCATTTTGGAGTCTCAGGAGGCCAAAGGGGGCACCCTGTTACCCCAGGACTCTCCTGAGCCTGAGCTTCTGCTGGATGAAGATCCCACCTCAGGCCTAGAGTCTGTGGCTGCAGCCATTTTGGAGTCTCAGGAGGCCGAAGGTGGTGTCTCATCACCCCAGGACTCTCCTGAGCCTGAGCTTCTGCTGGATGAAGATCCCACCTCAGGCCTAGAGTCTGTGGCTGCAGCCATTTTGGAGTCTCAGGAGGCCAAAGGGGGCACCCTGTTACCCCAGGACTCTCCTGAGCCTGAGCTTCTGCTGGATGAAGATCCCACCTCAGGCCTAGAGTCTGTGGCTGCAGCCATTTTGGAGTCTCAGGAGGCCGAAGGTGGTGTCTCATCACCCCAGGACTCTCCTGAGCCTGAGCTTCTGCTGGATGAAGATCCCACCTCAGGCCTAGAGTCTGTGGCTGCAGCCATTTTGGAGTCTCAGGAGGACGAAGGTGGTGTCTCATCACCCCAGGACTTTCCCAAACCTGCACCTCCACCCCTGCTGGATGAAGATCCCACCTCAGGACATGAGTCTGTGGCTGCAGCCACACTGGAGTCCCAGAGGGCTGATGGTAGTGTCTCATTACCCCAGGACTCTCCCGAGCCTTCACCTCCATCTCTGCAAGATGAAGATCCCACCCCAGGCCCAGAGTCCATGGTGACAGCCACACCAGGGCCCCTGCAGGCTGGAGGGAGCATCCTGTTACCCCAGGACTCTCCCAAATCTTCACCTCCATCTCTACAAGATGGAGATCCCACCTCAGGCCTAGAGGTCATGGCTGTGGCCACACTAGCGTCCCAGGAGGCTGGAGGGGGTGTCCTATTACCCCAGGACTGTACTGAGACTGCTCTTCTACCCCTGAAAGACCAAAATCCCACCTGGAGCCCAGAGGTCATGGCTGTAGCCATGTCAGTTCCCCTGCAGGCCAAACAGGGCATCTTGTTACCCCAGGACCCTCCTGAATCTTCTCCACCTCTGCAAGATGAAGATTCCACCTCAGGCCTGGAGACAGTACCAGTGGCCACACCAGGGACTCAGAAGGCTGAAGCAGGCTGCACCCCAGGGACCAAGGCCATGGCCTCTGTGGCTCAACAGGAATTAGGTGTGGCCTTAAAACGGAGGCCTGTGCCCAAGGAGTGGCTTGCAGTGCCCCCTGGTGACCCAGAGCCTGCAGCCTTGAACCTGGGCCCACAGGATGGTCCCAAGCCAGCAGCAGAGGCTGGGATGCTTGGGCCTCCGGAAGAAGCAGGGCCCACCCTGGGTATGGAGGCCCCTGCCGCCCTCAAGGTGAGCCTTGGTCCCAGGAAGGAAGGAGCCTCAGGCCTGCCTACTGCAGAGCGGGAAGCTTGTGTGGAAGCCCAGGCACCAGGCAATGGGGCTGAGACCTGCTTGCATCCAGAGGAGGCCCAGGGGCCTAAGACCCAGAGGGCGAGGGGTCCCAAGCCACCAACACAGGGACATGGACCTAAGTCAGCACCCCGAGGTGCAAAGGGGGCTCCCAAGGCCCTTCGTGCCACCTGCCCTGAGGTCAGCCAGGTGCCACCCCTGAGCCCAGCCAGAGAGGGCAGGGCCCTGGGCAAAAAGGCCACTCCAGGGCCCAGGCTCCCTACAGCCCGGGCTGCAGAGGCCCAGCAAGGCTCCTGCCCAGGGTCCCCAGTCAGGGCTGTGTCCAGGCTGGACGGGGACAGCCCCAAGGAGCCTGTCCCATCAGCACCACCCTCCCTGCGACTGCAGCCCCCCTCCACCCCGAGTCTCCTCAGCCGACCCCCACCAGCGCCCCCCAGAACCCCAGCCCGGGGAGCACCCAGCACACCCCGCAGCAGGCTCCCGGACCCCAACTCCTCTGCTCCTGGTGCCCCCTGCCCACACCAGGATCACCAGGAAGACTCCACAGAGGGTGAGGAGCCCCCAGCCTCTCGGGGTTCCCCACTGCCTCAGGTGGGAGCCCAGCGGGCTGCCACTGCCTCAGGAACCACACAGCCTCGGGGAGCTAGACAGCGTATCAGCCTGGCACCCCAATCCCCCCTCAGCCCCAAGGCGGCTCCCACAGATACCAAAGAGCCAGCCTCAAGGATCGTACCCCCCTGCCAAGTGCCTCCTCCCTCAGGGCCCCAGGGCCCACGTGGTCCTCAAGGGCTCCCAGCCCCTGAGCAACATGAGGACGAGGACAGCCTGGAGGAAGGTGAGTTCTCTCAGGGGCACTGTCACCTGGGCTAGGGGACTGGCCCTAGCGTGACCTCACATCTGTCCCCTCCCCAGACTCCCCAAGGGCCCCAGGCTCTGGCCAGCACTCGGACAGCCACGGGGAGTCATCGGCTGAGCTAGACGAGCAGGACCTCTCGGCCCCTCACACGCAGTGCCCAGCCCAGGTGCCAGCCAGGGCCGCAGGGAGGGTGGCCTCGGGTGGTCCTGCAGTCCCACAGGAGCTCAAAGCCCCTCTCCCCACAGGCCCCGACAGGCAGCAGCGAGGAGACCATCGCCAAAGCCAAGCAGAGCCGCAGTGAGAAGAAAGCTCGGAAGGTAAGGGGAGCCCCACGGGGACCCCAGGACTGGGAACGTGGGACAGGGCTGTCCTCGTGAAGATCCTCACCCATGCTAATGAAATCCTATCTGAAAGGGGGCTCTGGGGCCATATGGGAGCCTGCACCCCTTCCCCTGAACAGCTAGACTGGGGTCACAGGTGCCCAAGGTCATGGGGACACTGGCAGCAGTGTCTGTCCCTGACTGCCCTCCCCAACCTGCACCCTCCGTCTCAGGCCATGTCGAAGCTGGGCCTGCGGCAGATCCAGGGCGTCACGAGGATCACCATCCAGAAGTCGAAGAACATCCTCTTTGCCATCGCCAAGCCTGATGTCTTTAAGAGCCCGGCCTCTGACACCTACGTGGTCTTCGGCGAGGCCAAGGTCTGTCCTGGCTGTGGTCGTGGTCCTGGTCGTGGCTGTGGCGGGGTCAGAATGCGCGGGCTCCCCTGACAACTCCCACACCACAGATCGAGGACCTGTCCCAGCAAGTGCACAAAGCTGCGGCAGAGAAGTTCAAGGTGCCCTCAGAGTCTTTGGCCCTGGTCCCCGAAGTGGCACCTGGACCCCGGCTGAGACCAGAGTGTGGCGAGGAGGAGGAGGAGGAGGAGGAGGTGAGGCCCAGGGTCCCAGGAGCCCACAGGGTGGGGCTGCCGTGGGCCTCCGTGACGTCCCCGCTCCCTGGCAGGTGGACGAGTCGGGGCTGGAGCTGCGTGACATCGAGCTGGTGATGGCACAGGCCAACGTGTCCAGGGCCAAGGCCGTGCGAGCGCTGAGGGACAACCACAGCGACATCGTCAACGCCATCATGGTGAGGAGCGTGGGCCATGAGGGGCTTCCTGTGATCCCCTGAGGACTGCACTGGGCAGGGGGTGGCCCTCGGTGTGACCTGTGGCCCTTCTCCACAGGAGCTGACGATGTAGCTGCTGCCTGAGCCGGTCCACCCTGCCCTCCCCAGCGCTGCCACCTAATAAATCGGAGTCCAATCGACCGCACGGTGTCACCTCACTGTCCTCAGTGTGCTCTGGAGACCTCAGTGCCCCCTGCACCCTCTGGCTTCCCCTCCTATCCCTGACTGCTGCTCATCCTTGGGTCCCCTCCCACCCTCCACTGCCCTCAGGCACATTCGAGGCCCCACATTCTTGTGCCTCCCTGCTGGCAGCTGGTGAACACTGGGCTATCTGGGCTACACCGTGGCATCAGAAGTGTGGCCCGTGACCACACAGATGGCGCCGAGGCCATGCTCTACCCATGTGGCACTAGGCAGGGGCCAGAGACGAGTCTGTGATTTGTCTCTGCCTCTCCTGAGGCCCAAGGGGTGGGGGGCAGCTCCAACAGAAGGCGCAACAGAGAAATCGCTGTGAAACCCAGTGCAAGTTCAGGGCCAGCCTGAACTACACAGCCAGACCCTATCTCAAAAAACAAACAGAAAAGACCCAGCCCAGGGTTCTGCTGGGCTGATACCACATGGCCTGCCCATCTTGCTCAGGACCCTGTGGCTTGGCTGAGACACAGTGAATGTCCAGGGCATCCCTCTCCCCAGCATGGGTGGAAGAGGGCCTGAGTATCCCGGGGGCGCCTCGAGTCTCAGCAGAGCCCAGTGCGTCCTGACCCAGGTCCCTTCCCCATGCCCTGCAGAAGGTTGGAAAGGGCCCAGGGTACAGAGGTCAGCAGGGCCAGGGATTTAGCTCAGTGGTGCTGCCACCTGCCTTGCAAGCACAAGGTCCTGAGTTCGATCCCTGGTACCAAAAAAACAAACAAACAAAAAAAGCCAAGACCAAGGCCTGCCAGGGGCATCTATCACCAGCAGGGCTGGGCAGGACCACACCAGCCAGGGCCCTGCTGGGATCCATGCATGGGACAAAGACCAAGGCTTCCCGCCACCCCCAGCCACTGGCCCATGACCCTGAGACCTAGAACACTTGCCCTGGGTCCACAGGATCTTTGGCACCCTCCCAGGATGCAGGAGGACCGGTGGCCCGAGGGATGGAGGTCAGAGTGGATGGCCCTTGTGGTAACACAGCTTTCATCCAGGCGGGTGAGAAAAAAGCCCGGCAACGGGATATTAAATTATTCACATTGCAGTAAACTTCTTTAAGTTCTCTGAGAGTTACATGAGGAACGTCATGTGCAAAAGTGACAATTGTCTGGCCCATCCACAGGCCTGGCTCTCGTGCCAGTGTGGCTGGGCCTGGCCTCCCCATGTGGAGCCAGTGCAGGGCCCACTGGAGCCTGGGACAGATGTGGCACCTCTGCCCTACACAGGACGTGTCCTGTGGAGGCTCCACACCCCTTCACAGTAGAGGACCCACCGCCGCCGGCCACCTCTACTGCCATGAGGGGCCCACGGGGTCGGTGTCTCCTCGCAGGAAGGCCTGACGCAGTCTTGCGGACGGTGCAGTGCTCCCACCGCTGCTGTCATGCCGAGTCCTGGTCCATGCTGCAGCCCAGCGCCTCGATGTCACTGCTGATGTCCGAGATCATGCGGTCCCACTCATCCCCCTCAGAGGGCCCCGAGCGGTCATCGGGGCTGCCCGCGGCCCTGCTTCCATTGGCGGTGGAGGTAGAGGCGATGCTCTGCGCCCGCCGGTGCCTGCCAAAGCTGTCGGTGATGATGCCACGGCCATCCTTCACGCCGATGGTCTCCAGGAAGTTCTCGAAATGCTGGCTGTCCTTCTCGGGGATGAAGGGCCGCAGACCTGCGACACGGACCAGCACAGGCACGGCTCAGGGACCCAGCTGAGGACCCCAAAGATCCCAGCCCAAGGGCTTGTTGTCATCAAAGGTGACCTCCATTCCATCAGTCCTTGGGGTTCCCATCTTAAGACAAGAAAGGCAAGGCCCAGGGAAGTACTGGAAGCCACTGGTGGCCTTGGTCATGAGCTGCCATCCCCAGTAAGGCTTCAGGACAAAGCCACGGGCCAGCCTGGGTGACCACCCACAACTCGGCAGGGCACAGCCAGGCCCCAGCCCCAGAGCCAGGGCTCCAAAAGAGAGGGGAGGGCCCATGGCTCAGCCCTCTGCCACCCACTGCTTGAAGGTAACCCTGCCCAAGAGCAAGACAGGAAGCTACTGGCTGTGGCTCCCTAGGCTGTGTCCTGACAGGGACGGAGCAGGGAGGCCTTTTCCTCTTCATCCCGCCAGGAGTGGGGGCTTTGGGGAGGTGGCTGATGCCTGCCAGACCCATAGATGGGGAAACAAGCCAGGCGAGGTGGTGCAGGCCTCTGATCCCAGAACTCTGGGAGGCTGAGGCAGGAGGCTCACAAGTTCAGGCTCAGACTGGGTAACTCAGAAAGACCCAGACTCAAAATTAAAAGGACTGGGGATGCAGCTCAATGCAAAGGCCCTGGGTTTAATCCCTACTACCTCAAAACAAACAAAATAAGCAGTGTTGGGGGCATAAACCCACCTCCCGTGGTTCAGGGCCGTAAGCCCAGTACCCAGCAGCCCTCAAGGAGCTTCTGCCAACTCACTGTGCTCTGAGCACTGGCAGAGGGGAAGCCACAGCAGGGTTGATGTCCCCTGAGGGCAGCGTTGCAGGCTCCGGCCTAGGTGTTGACGGCGGGACTGACTACCCAACCTGCCAGCCACTGACCTAAGGCACTGAGTTCCTCAAGGGTCTTGGCAAAGGCTAATCTTTCCACCTAGGATGGCGCCTCCCTGTCTCTTTCCCCTAGCAAACTCCTACAGATGCAGCAAAACCCACTCAAGTGTCACCTCCCCAAAGGGCCCCCTGGCTCCTCTCCAGCACCTTCTCTTGAGCCTGGCAGGGGCCTCGTGCCCCCACCCACACCCCCACCGGGCCTCACCAAGCAGCAGGAACTTGCGGCTGTCCCCATAGAGCTGCCGCAGGCTGATGCAGAACTCGTGGATGGAGGCTCCGGTGCGGTACTCATGCAGCAGCGTCGCGAACTGCTGGATCTCCTGCGAGGACAGCTTGGTGCGCAGCTGCAGGGCAGAGGGGCACCCGCTGAAGCCCGGTGGCAGCAGGCAGGGTGGGGCCGCAGAGCCCCCCCAGGCCCAGGCAGTACCGTGAGCATGTAGTCCTGCAGCAGCTCGGCGGCGCTGGCGCTCAGCTCGCTGTCACTTGCCGTCTTGCTGTGGGGCAACGCCTGCATGCAGGATAGCGGTGGCAGCCCGCCGGCATCCGCGCAGTCAGGGAAGCAGCTATAAGGCATGGGACGCGTGGGCTGCGTCCACCCCGGTGCCCGACCCCACCCCGGATCCCCCACCTGCTCCAGGAGCCCCCAAGGGTATGACAGTGCAGGGGACACAGCAGGGGAGCGTGGGCTGAGCTGCCACCCAACAGGCCATGCACAGGACCACTCCAGAGGCCAAAACGGGGACAGCACAAGGCCAGGGTGGGGACGCGGGGTGCAAGGCAGGGGCACAAGCACTCACAAGGTGCTGGCCTCGGTGTCGTAGGCCTCCTTCAGATCCACTTTCGTGGAGGAGTCATCTGTAGGGAAGACGCAGGAGACAGCGTGACTCTCAGGCTGGGGGCGCTGCCCCATGTGGCCGGAAGGAGAATCCAGGACACAGCCAGCTCCGTGCTGCGTTGATAGGAGGCACAGGCCACCCTGGCCTTTGGGGACCCCCAAGTCCCTCACCCTGGAGCCAGCCGGGTCCTGAACATGCCGTGTGCCATGAACAGGGCTCCCAGCCTGAGCCCACACAGGTCCTCAGCCGCACTCAGGGCATCAAGTACACAAAACCCAGCCAGACAGGCGCTATCCCCGCCACAGGGTGGGTGGTCTGACCCCTCCCTGGACACAGCCCAGCCTGCGGACCCGGGAAGGGCCTGGCACAGAGCCGCGCCTGGGGGAAGCCCAGCAGTGACACTGAGATTGCAGGTGAGTTCGGGACCCAAGGACAGGGACAGCCCGACACCGCAGGCAGAGCAGAGGGACAGGGCACGGCGAGAGGACGGAGCTTAGGCGAAGCCCTGGGTTCTATCCCCAGTAGTAGAAAGAAAAAAACCCAGTGGGTTTCACAGTATCTTTTAAAGGCCAAGTGGTTGCGCTGAAACAGTCCTACCAGACATGCTGCTGGCCTGTGCCTCAACCTTCCCAACTGTGGCACAGGGTGAGGGTTGTTCCTGCATTGCTGGGTGGGGGAGGGCTCAGCTGTCACCCAGGCCAGGTGGGCTCCAGGCAGCACAGAGCTGCTGTCCTGGGCACACGCCTGTCCTGGCCTGGGCCACCTGTGAGCCACCAGGGAAGAGCCTTCTGCCGTTCTGGGCCCCAACGTGTGAACCTTTGGCTGGGAGGGCAATGCCACTGGGTCCTGCAGACCTGGTGCCCAAGAGCATGTCCACGGAGAGATTGCGCTGCTCCACGCCCAGCTCGGTGGACACTCAGATGCACAGATGCCCTCGATGTCCCCTCCCCTCCCCCTGCCTGGGCCTCAGGGATCCTGGGCAGCACATTTGGGTCCTGCAGTCCCGGAAGGGCCTCAGCCCCGTCACCCTCTCGTACCGCTATGCAGGGATAGGTGGTGGGTGGGCGTGGAGGCGCCATCGAAGATCGCTCTATCCAGAAAATCGATGGTGGACTCCGTGTAAACGATCTGGAAGACCTGGCCGAGCAGGGAGCACAGCTCTTCCGCGGCCACCTGGAGGGGTGGACAGTGGCGGCTGCCACATCAGAGTGGCCGGCGGTGACCACCTTCCCGGCGGGCAGCCTCTGGGCTCTGTGGGTGTGAGGACAGCAGGCAGAGGAGGCCCCGGCACGGTCCTGCCAGACACACTGCTGATCCCGTGCCTCAACTTCCCCATCTGCAAGCAGGATGGGAGGCCAGGGCTGGAGGGGCCAGCTCACCTTGCTCTCCGCAGCCAGGATGACCAGGCAGCAGGCCTCCACTGGCACCACCGTGCTCTCTGGCAGGGGCCCCGAGCCCAGACCTCTGGAACTCTCCGTGCACAGGCTCTGACTGGGGGAGATACCCGGATCCTGGGCTGTGGAGGGACAGCCGTCAGGACGCATGGGGGGCATGAGGACACTCAGGACACCTCTGGCCAACTGTCCACCAGGCCTCCAAGGTGGCCAGCCTGTGCCAGGCATGTGCTCCGGGTGCGTCCCTCCCCTCCCCTTACTGCACTGTCATCCTGCTAGGAAATGGCACCCCGCATTTATCACCCACATACCCTCCCAGCATCCAGGATGGGGATGGAGGAGACACAGGACAGCCAGGATTCGAGGGCTGTTCTGTTTATTTATTGAGACAAGGTCTCTTTATGTAGCCCAGGCTGGCTTTAAAAATCAAGATCCCCCTGCCTCAGCCTCCCAAGTGCTGGGGTTATAGGTATAGCCACCACACTTGACTGTTCAAATCTTTTTGGCTATACCAAAGGCAATTTCACAGGATTCAAGTTAACAGATAACAGGCCGTGACCACAACGCTGACAGTCCACTTCTATGAGGTTTCCATATATTCTGGCCTAAGGCACTTCCTTCTCACACAGGGATAAACTGAGGCACGGGGCTGGGCCTGGCAGCTTGTGAACAGTAGGGTCCAGGTGCTAAGCTAGATGGTGACACCCCAGTGCCACATCCCTAACAGCCCACCCTCCACCTACACAGAAAACACACGGTGATTCCTAGAGGCTTGATGGTTGGGGTCAGGGGACATCGGGCCCGGTCAGAGGCCCAGAAGTGTCCCTGTCACCCCCAGAACTGATGGGCAGGGAGGGAAGGAAGGGCAGCAGAACCAGGCAATGCAAGGGTCACAGCTAGGGGTAGAGGCCCAGGCCAGGGGCTGGCAGGACAGTGTGATGGCCTTGGAGAGACCAGGCCGCCTGACCCTGACTGCCACCGGCCGCCGGGCCCCTGAGCACGTGGGCGTGATGCACCCACACCTAAGAGGTCATCACATGGGGCTCTGGGGCCGGTGTGAGAGGACGTGGACCAGCGCATCATATTTACAATCACCTCAGGGAGTGTTCTAGAGAGAGGCCCGACCTGGACATGTCACTCCAGTGGTTTCACTGTTTCTCTCACTCCCTAGCCCAGGCCTGGGTTGGCTCTCGAGGAAGCAGCGGGCAGCTACGACGTAGACACCGCTTTCATCCTCCCAAGCACCTCCCAGCCCCACTGCACCACACAGGAGACCCGGGCCCTGGTCCTCTCCTGTTCTCCTAGGAGCTGCTCCCCACCTGCCAAAACATCCAAGTCTGCCAGGGCGGGTCCCCCTCCTCTAGGCCACGAGGTCCTCCAGGGCTGGACACAGAGCTAAGGCAGCCGGGAGGCCCCAGCCCAGCCCGCTGTGCCTCAGTGACTCCATCTGGACTCAGGCCTGGCAGATTCTAGAGGTCCAGAAAGAGAATCTATGACAAACGCTCTGGGCTGCTTTGGGCCACGTTCAATTGTCATTTCTAGAGATTAAAATGGCTCGGTACTGACAGCGGATTAAACATCGTGCAGGAAGGTGGGCACTGTGGCTTGCAGGCTGCGCATCCCAAAGGTGCTGCAGCTTGGTCCCCGAGGGCTCCTCCTGGGAGTCTGGGCCTGGTGGGAAGTTGCTAGGCCCCTGGGCACCCCTGAGCACAACCGCTCCCCAGCAGGGACTGCATCAGGCAGAAACCCCACTTCCCTCACTCATCCTCATGCCCTGGCACCATCCTCAGGGACCCACCCAGGCTGAGAGGTCCCCGCGAACTCCGCCAACAGGGAGAGCATAGCTGTTTCCTCCCTTCTTTCCTCACTGGCTTGAACCCCAGGCCACGGCCTGTAGGGGGCGACAGACAGTGGCTGGAACCCCAGCATCCAGACAAGCAGAGGCTGGGGACAGGCCGGGCTCTGTGGACACAGAGCAGCGCCCAGGATCAGCCTCTCCGCTCCACCTGCCTGGGCAGTGTGGGAGGCTGGGGGACCACAGGAGGGCAAGGGGCACCAAATGTATCCCGGGCAGTTCCCCCAAGTCTCCGCGTGTGACACGGACCCGGGCCATGGCAGCTGCCAGCCCTCCCCGCACACAGCACAGAGCTGCAAAAGTCATGGATGTGGCTCAGCCCACCGGCCCAGCCCCGCACCTGTCTTCAGGACCACCAGGTGTGCGGCATCGTCCCGCACGTAGGAGACGGCAGCAATGTCGTGGATGGGCACCCTGAGGATGACGTCCTCCCCGTCCCGCCAGGCCAGCTTGACGTTGTAGGCGGACAGGCTGAGCACGGCGTCGTGCTCCTGCGTCAGGTGTCCCGGGAGCTGGTGGGCACGCTGCGAAGTACACGGGGACTCAGAGATGCTGGGCACAGTGGTCATGTCCTCGGTCCTGCGGGGGGGGGGACTGGGAGGTGCTGCCCCCACCGGGAGGTTCTCCTGGAATGACTCTACATCCAGACTTCCCATTACATTTTCTTTTCTTTTTTCCTTGTACTTTGGAGACAAGTTCTCACAATGCAGTACAGGCTGGCCTTGAACTCACTATGTAGCCCAGGCTGACCTTAAACTCACTCAGGTGATCTTCCTGCCTCAGCCTCCCAAGTGCTGGGATCACAGGCCTGCGCCACCTCACCCAGCTCAGATTTCAACTTATGGCACATGGTCTGGAATAACCTGAAATTGTGACAATTGGAAATAGCCCCATGCTGCACAGGTTTATGTCAGACTGAAGAAGAGTCCAGTGGCCAAGAGCCAAATGGACCTGTACTATGGGGGAACTGGGTCACCCCTTCCAGGCACGAGGCCTAAGCAAGGGGACTGAGGCCTGGAGTGGCTGGGGCAGAGCATGCAGCAGAGGCTGGGTTACCTTGGCTTTGTCTATGAAGTGCAGGATTTCCGTCCTACTGGAGGGGTTCAGGTACCCAGGGATGGATGTCAGCTGACCTAAATACTGCGGAGGGAAGAGAAGGCACATGAGGTCAGGACTGGCCACCACCACCCCACTGCTATGCCCAGCCCGGCCACCTCCTTAGCCTCAGGCCACCAGGCTGGGGTCCCCAGCCCAGCTCCACCAGGACAGGAATCTGGAATCTTGGGGTAAAGCACAGCCCTCCTGCATCTACTGCTACACTACATTCAGGGTCCCGCTAAGGTGGTTTCCAGATGAGCTTGGCAGAGGCTGCACAGGGACAGCAGTGGTTTCTCAATCTCTGTGCGGGGGCTGAACCCAAGGGCACCCTGGATAGCATCATTCACAATAAACCAGGGGCCAGAAGTGGTAGGGCACGCCTGAAATCCCAGCACTCAAGAGGCTGAGGCAGGAGGGTCACTGAAGAATTTGAGGCCAGCCTGGGCTACTTAGTGAGTTCAAGGCCAGCCTGAACTACAAAGTGAGGCCCTGTCTCAAAACAAGACCCAACATAAATAAACTGCGAATCACAAAGGCCAATGCAGCTGAGTAACGACCACAGTCAGGGAAACGAAGGGCCAGCGTTTGTCTGAAAGTATCCCCCAAGTTCCCACGCGCGCCCAAGGGGTGAGGCCTTAGGGAAGAGGGGATTCACCTGTGACAGCAAAGGGCGCATTCTCCCCACCCTGTGCTTTCCCCACTCCGCCACAAGAGAGCGCTCCGAGAAAGCCAAGCCCAGCGCCAGCCCTTCCTCTTGGATTTCTCAGCCTTCAGACTCAGGAGAAATAAACTTCCAGCCACTGTTAAGATGCCGAAGTGGGACATTCTGCTCCCACAGCACAGCGCACATCGGGCACAACGGAATGGGTTTCTTTGGTGCCCCGTGACCCGGGCCTCGGTATGTGGTGGGTTGGGAACTCAGCTAGGTCTGCTGGGCTTGGGCCTGAGTCTTTAAAAAACTACGCAAGCATTTGTTTTCACTGTTGCTGTTGTTTGGAACCCAGAGCCTTGCCACTGCTGTACCCCAGATCCATCCCTTTTAAATTTTTTATTTTGAGATAGTGTTTTGCTGAGTTTTTAAATTTCCCGGGCTAGGCTTGAACCCCTGATCCTCCTAGAGAGCTGGGATGGCAGGTACATACCATCATGCCTGGCCCTAGCACAATATTTTATTTATTTGAGCCATTATGTAGTTTAAGATAGTCTTAAACTCACTATATATCCCAGGCTGGCCTTGAATTCTCAGAGATCCTCCTGTCTCAGCCTCTCAGGATTACAGGTGTGTGCCACCATGCCTAGTTTGTGATGCAATGTTTTTAATGGCATGGATTTTTTTTAATGGACTACTGATCCCTGAGAGCAGAATTTCTGCACTCAGCACTCTCCCCCCCACACTCATCAATTCGCATATTTAAGTTATCTATAAAAAAGGAGGTGAGGTTTCCAGCTTCTGGTCTGGCATGTATGGGGGGCAGGCTGTCACTCCCATGCTTACAGGAAGGAAGCTGACCCACTGAAATCAACGACTCTTCTTAGATCTAGCAGGTAAATGAGGGCCCAGGAAAACCACTGTCCCCACAGCTGGTGAGACAGCTGAGCAAGCTGAGGCAGGAGGGTTTAGCTCCCAAACTGAAAACCAGCCTGAGCAACACAGTGAGATTCCATCTCAAAAAACAGTAACAATGGGCTGGGGATTTAGCTCAGTGGTTCCAGCGGCTGCTTCATAAGTGCAAGGACCTGAGTTCAATCCTCAGTACCAAAAAAAAAAAAAAAAAAAAAAGAAAAAGTAACAACAACAACAGAGATAAACAGGTTGACTGAGAATGACACTCACTGGGGACAAAAACCCTGAGGCCAGTACAGGTGAGACAGAGAGATCACAAGGCTGGGGCTTCACTGGACCAGCTGAACATCAAACACCTGGGAATCCAGCTGTGGACACCCCACTTTCCAGAGCTCTAGTGGGTCTCAGGGTGAAGACTACAGAAAACTCCCTGTGCTTCTGGCCATGAGAGGAGAACTAACGAAATACCTACCTATAAAAATATTCCTTAAAATGTTAAACCAATACAATATTAAATCACTATCCCCAACCAATACAATATTAAATCTGCTATCCCCAACCCGGGCTATTCTTCAAGGAAAATGACTTTACCAGAGCCAAGACCATGGACCATGAGGGAACACCCAGCTCCCACTCCCTCTACCCATCTGCCTCTCCTCAGGGTGAGGAAACAGAACTCAGAATCAGAAGGAAGTTCATGCCAGGGCCACTGAGACCTTGTGGTGTGACTATGGAAGAGTCCCCTCTGTACCCACAGCAAGCAGGCTCCTGTGTCAACAGAAAAGCCAGGTGTGGGGGTGCATGCCTGTAATCCTAGAACTCAGGAGGCTGAGGCAGGAGGTTTGCCATGAGTTCAAGGTTGGCCTGCACTACAAAGTGAGACTTTATCTCAAAAAAAAGTGGGGGGGATCTCAAGAAGAGACAACAGCAACTCCCCCACAATGAATGTTATCATTACAAACTGCAAACATTAACCAGGCATGATGGCACACGCCTATAATCCCAGCACTTGGGAGGCTGAGGCAGGAGGATCGCTGTGAGTTCAAGACCAGCCTGGGCTACATAGTGAGTTCCAGGTCAGTCTCAACTACACAGTGAGACCCTGCCTCAAAAA